AGTTACTTTTTTTAAAAAATAAATCCTTATTTATTACTCCGTATATGGAAAACTATATAACTAAAAAGATAAAATTATAATTTTCCTTTATAAAAAATGGACGGTAAATAACCGAAGTTTAAAAATAAAATAATTATGTTAATATTTTTTCCTTTTAGGGAAAAAATTATTTGTATAAATAGTCACCCATCCCGTGCTGTGGTGAAACATATCCACTTCACGATGATATATTGTTCTTGTTTTTTCTACAAACACACGTAAATAATCAGGAAAATGCTAGGGTGCCACCACATGGGTGCTACCATAGGTGCACTCATGTTTCGCACAGACAAACACAGATGATAATTTTCTGTGTCGCACAGACAATTATCGTCTGTGTTTGTCTGTGTGAAGCATGGGTGCACCCATGGTAGCACCCATGTGGTGGCACCCTAGCATGGTCCAAATAATCATGGGTGTGTGGTCAACGCTAAAAAAGATTGATCAAAGTTTTGCCACTTTCATGATTAAATTGAGAGCTATTAGGGTTTATCGAACCTCTACCCATCCTCGAGGGCTAGTATCGTTTGATGTTATCTTTCATGATGAAAATGTTAGTTACTCCGTACATTAATAGTGAAGAATTGTTAATTTCTATGTTAATCTTGTGGAGTCACGCCCTGTATACATACAAATCACAAGTCTCCTAACTATGGTAGGATATATAAACAAGGAAAGCCTATACAAAAAGAAACCTACCAAATACAATAAATATTAAATATACATAATATATTTAACATGCTCCCAACTACGTGACTGGTGAAGGGTGGATACCAAGACTATGCCTGAAGTCGGAGAAGAGAAGAGATGGTAGCCCTTTGGTAAAGATGTCGGCATACTGGGAGGAAGAGGGAACATGGAGAACACGGACTTGTCATAGGGCAACTTTGTCCCTGACAAAGTGTATGTCAACCTCTACGTGTTTGGTGTGCTATTGCTGAACAGGGTTGGACGATAGGTACACAGCTCTGGCATTATCACAGAAAACCACTGTGGTATAGCGCAGAGGTTGCCGTAACTCAAGAAGGAGGTTCCAGACCCAACTTGCCTCAGCCACGGGGTTTGCAACTGCTCGATACTCAGCCTCAGCACTCGAACTGGATGTGGTGGCTTGTCTCTTGGAGGACCAAGAGATGAGGTTGTCACTAAGGAAAACACAGTAGCTAGAGGTGGAGCGACGAGTGTCTGGACACTCTGCCCAATGAGCATCAGACTAGGCTTGTAGAGAACCTGTACGGGTGCGGTGGAGAGTGATCCCATGAGTGGTAGTGTCATGTGGGTAGCGGAGGACACGCTTCATGATAGTGAGATGAGTGCTGCGGGGGGCATGAAGGTGGAGACACAACTGCGGTACAACATAGGCTAGGTGAGATTAGGGCGTGTGAATGTGAGGTACTGTAAGGCTCTAACAATGGACATGTATAAATTAGGATCGAAAAATGGTGTGCCGGAGGAGGCCCCGAGTTTCGCCTTTGTATCAACAGGGGTGGACATGGGCTTGCAGTTGAGCATGTCTGCACGTTCCAAGATCTCGTGGGCAAACTAAGTCTGATGAAGAAGGAGCCCTCCTGTAGTACACTGAACATTGATCCCGAGGAAGAAATTTAGATCACCCATATCTGTCATAGCAAACTCCCCCTTGAGCTGTTGAGTGAGGTGTTGGAGTAAAGGGGATGAGGAGGCGGTGAGGACAATGTCATCCACATAGAGCAGCAGATATGCCATGTCATTCCCATGAGTGTAGACAAAGAGAGATGTATCGCTCTTACAGCCACGGAAACCCAATGTAAGGAGGAAGCCTGCAAATCGGTGATACCAAGATCGGGGAGCTTGCTTAAGACCATATAATGCCTTTTTCAACCTGCACACATAATGAGGCTGCGTGGGATCTTGGAAGCCGGACGGTTGACTGGCATAGACTGTCTCCTGAAGTGTGCCGTGAAGAAAAGCATTCTTCACATCCAACTCATGAATCGGCCATCCTCATGAAAGAGCAAGGCTGAGGACAATACGAACGTTGTCCGGTTTGACAACCGGGCTGAAAGTCTCCTCATAGTCAATTCCGAAGCACTGATTGAATCCACAGACCACCCACCGAGCTTTATACCTGGACAGATCATCTGTAGGGCCAAATTTGTGGCGGAAGAGCCACTTACCAGTGATAACATTATGTGTGGGGGAGGGGGGTACAAGTTCCCATGTATCATTTTTAATTAAAGCATTAAATTTGTCACACATAGCATCATACCGGTTTTGGTCCTTAAGAGCACTATGATAGGTAGGGGGTAGTGGGGAGATTTGAGCTGTGGTGCTGAGATTTAGGATGTGTTTAGGACGGGGTATGCCCGCTTTGGATCGGGTGACCATGGGGTGGCTGGGTACTAGGTCGTGGGATGTGGGTTCGATGGAAGAGGGTTGGGCTTCGGTTTCGGGTTGATCATGGGTGTGCCGTAGGTGGGGGGAGTGGGCCGTTGGGAGTTTAGTGGGTTGGGCCGTGGGTTGGGGGA